CTTCTTCGACACTCTCCACTACAGCGAACTTGATAACTGTCTTTTTGGATTTTTTTGACAAGAATCGCACTTAAATTCAGCCATAATGATGTAAATGATTAATAATCTTAACAAAAGTCGAACAGCTGAATAAAATCCGGAAGTATAAACAAGTTAAAACTCACCCACAGCGGAAACAAGTACGCCGGAAAATTAGAATTTAGCAATTAATATTGTAATAAACTAACACAAGTCAACAAGGTTCAACAGTGAACTTTGAGTTGATTTCGGGTCAGGAACAAAAAACAAATCAAAAACAAGTCAAATCAAAACAAAACAAACGTTCAATAACCGGCAGACAAAACGCACGAACGAAAATACAACCGTCTCGTACGACTGCTAAACTAATACTTAATAACTTTAAGAACTTATTACTTAATAACTTTGAATGGCGCCAGCTGTAATGAAAATAAATTCTAGCTGTGAGCAGTAATTAAAACGAAAATAATATTTGCAATGAGAGATACATAATTTTATAACAATTTAAACTATATTTAACAACATCAACACATTTAAGCTATATATAATAACAATAAAAATAAATAGCAAACCAAGATTTTACTACAGGTGTTTGACATGTCGACCGTCTTCTGTTATTGACAGACGGGACCGTTTTTGAACATTTCTCGCGAAATTCATTAACTCAATTGGGATGAAAAATACCCTCACATAACCGCTAAGTACTTCTAGGTCTTGTCTAGATTATACGGGCAATTTAAAAATAAGAATCTTTATTCTTCAGTATCTTCAGTAAATATAAAAATACATAGGCGTTAAGTCCGGCGGCCTCGACGGCCAACGGCTGGAATCTTGGTTAGCTATTCAATTATTCTCGAAATTGGGTGCAAAAACTTGCTGATAACTTCAGTGTTCTGAGGCGGTGCCTCGTCTTGCTGGAAAAATATGTTTTCGAGTTCCATTAGGGACAGATCATCAATAAGGGGTCCAAAGCCTACTAGTTAAAAGTGGCAAACTTTTAAAAATGCTATATGTCCAAAGAGATTATAACAAAATATCAAGTGTGCTACATTTTTGGCAAGGTAATTTTAAGCCCTTTTCAGTTAGTTAAAAATAAACAGGGTGTCCCAAATAAAAAATTAGTTTCTCTTTTGATAACTCTTAAATTATTAATTTTAAAAAAATTATACTTAAACCATTAAATTCTGCGTAAAAAGGTGTTTTGGAGATGTTTTTATAAAAATACAAAATTTTCCATAGCAAAAAAGTCACAGCGATTTGTTAAAAATGCAAAATTTTCAAATACTCCAGTAACTTTCATTCAGTAATGCTTTCAGTAACTCCGAAACGGTAACAGATAAAAAGTGAGCTTCAGACACCGATATTAGTTTTCGTCTATCTGCTACAGAAAAAGGTGTTTCCCTTCAAAAGCGTGCAATTTGACCTACCCTGTACATTTATTTACGCCGTATACAGGATAGCGCCTCTCATACGCCGCGGAAGCTCCAAGGATAACGACAGTTTGTGTTGAAATGAAATTTTGTGAGCATATGTAGGTTAATTCAAAGCACTTTTTAAAAATATAGTTCTACAGGGTTTTTCCAAAAAAAGTTACATATCAAAGTTGTGTTTTTTATAATGGAATACCCTATATATTAATTGATTTTCGGATTCTGGGAGAAAAATAAAGGTGAGTTTTATTAGAGAAGTATATGACATGACTAAAATGTAAGGTTTTTGACATATTTACGTTTTCTAGAAATAAAAACAATTTTTAAATTACAATAAAAGCTACCTAAATTGCAATTTACCCGGTATAGCCTAATATGTAGTTAAATTATTGTATTTTAAATCAAATTAAAACTTGATCCAAAAAGTTATACAGGGTGAGACAAAATTAATATTGAACATTGGTCACCTTTAAAAGCATGGTACTCTCTTATTTTAAATGGAACACCCAACATATTATTCCGATATTCAATGGAGAATTCATGTCTCTTCAAAATACTATTAAGGTTGCCTACCCCCCAAACAAAGATTTTCCTAGATATTTTCATTTACATGATTTGATCTGAGTAGATCTTTATTATTTGATAAAATCTAGGTGGCTGTTATATGGTCTGACGTTACTTCAACATAGTTGTCTAATTAGTCCAACTTTAACAACTAATTATCATTTTGTGTCAGTTAAAATAAAAAAAAATCTTAGAAATTTGCCGAAAATGCAAACTTATCCTACATCAGAGACAATTGATATGATTCTATTAGTTGTTCAATTAATAGAACACTTAAATGCTCCTGATTTTATCTAGTTTGTTTTTTTTTATGGGGATATGTTAAAGACAGTGTTTACAAAACTCGACCAACTAGTGTCTACAACATGAGAGAAATTATTGTAGCTGTTTTTCAAGATAGAACTCATATGCCTTTTAAAATGAAAAGATCCTTTTGAAAATACATATCATTTTATGCAGTTAAAAGGAAAGGAAGCATTTTGAGCATTTGATTTCATCTAGCTAATTTTTGTAGCATAATTGTAGGTCTATATCTAGTTTTCATTCTGTAATAATTAAAATATGTTTTAAACGTACATCTTTTTATTACTCTTCAGTATTTTACTCTACAATCTTTAATTTTTGTTAAGTTAACAAAAGATATATCACACAGCCACCTAGATTTTTTCAAATAATAAAGATTTATTGACGTAAAATCATAAAAATTAAAATATATGAGAAAATCTTTGTCTGAGGGGTAGGCAACCTTAATAATATTTTGAACATAATTAATAAGTATTAATTAATTCCCCATTGAACACCAGAAAAATATACTGGGTGTTTCATTAAAAACAAAGGAGTAATTTGCTTTTAAAAGTGACTAAATGTTCCATATTAATTTTGTCTGACCCTGTATAACTTTTCGGGTCAAATTTCAATTTGGTTTAGCATACAATGGTTACTGTAATTAAATATCAGGCTATACAAGGTCAACAAAAATTTAGGTAGGTAACTGTTATCGAAATTTAAAATTTACTCTTCATTTCCACAAAATGTGAAATATGTCAAAATTCTTAGATTTTAGGTATATGCTTCTTTAATAAAACTTACCTTTATTTTTTTGCTAGAATCCGAAAATCAATTAATATATAGGGTGTTCCATTAGAAAAAACACAACTTTGATGTGTAACTTTTTTTGGAGACACCCCGTATAATTTTATATATTTTTATAAAATGCTTTCAGTTAACCTACATATTCTGCCAAAATTTCATTTCGATATAAACTAGATACGGTTCTCATTGGAGCTTCCGCAGCGTATGAGAGGCGCCACCCTGTATTATCGAATGTAATTTTACATACAAAATGACAGCGATCTTCATTTCCAATCCATCTCTGCGACACCGATTTTTTCCGATCGTATGGTTTTTGATCGAATTAAAAAAGGCTCTTTTATTTTTCGTTTAGAGGCCTATCAGTAATTTTTAATACACTTTTGAAATACGCGCCCGATTCAAAGCGTTACTTAATTTAACGCGATTTTTAATTTGGCGCACTGTTATTCACTGTCGATCACAGGAACAAAGGGGAAATTCGTTTTGAAATTCCTCTGTTAACTTAATTATATTTTGAAACCCGTACGATCGTCACCGTTACACGTTTAATTAACAATTACGTGTTCATATTCGTTATGTGACAATTAAGGAAAATTTAATTTCCATAAACTTTTAACTTTACCAAATAAAAAAGTAAAACTGGGCAGGTTTTTAAAACATTTTTATTCAGAAAACATAATCAAATCAATATATTTTTATTTGCTAGAGTTCAGTTGATATAAATTAATATCTTTCTTTTATTTAACAATAACTTTAATACAGCCTTTAACAACACACATTATTAACTATCATTGTAATAAGATGGTAAAGATAATTACGAAAATTATCAGAAGATCTCATATGAGAAAGCAGGACATACATACGTAATAAATCTCATAGGCTTTTTTTACTTTATATTGAAAGCTGAAGTTTCTTTGATAATTTTTATAGAAGGTTTTTCAAAAAACATGGGCCATTACTCGTGGGGAGATTCCTCATGTTAAAATAGGATTCATTTTTCATATCAACATAGTTCCGATTCAGCTTCATTTATTTTTTTTTATTTATTATAATTTTCTTCCAAATGCTTTTAGCGCTTAAAATTTACTACTAGTGCAACATATTTTAATGCTAAAAATGTCTATACTTTTGTTTGTATAGGGTGAAAAAGATACCCTGACATAACCACTAAGTACTTCTAATTCTTGTCTAGATTCTACAGCTAATTTAAAAATAAGAACTTTTATTCTTCCGCAAATATAAAAATCCACTAAGAATAACAGGCACTAAGTTCGGCGGCCTCGACGGCCAACAGCTGGGATCATGGTTAATTATTCTCGAAATTGGCTGTAAAAATTTGCTGATAATTTCAGCATTCTAAAACTTGCTGGAAAAATATGTTTTCGAGTTCCATTAGGGGCAGATCATCAATAAGGGATTCAAAGCCTACTAGGAACTATTAATTAATAATAACTAGTAATTAAGTAGGTAACTAGTAACTACTAGTAACTAGTAACCCTAACCAAAACAAAATATCAAGTGTGCTATATTTTTGAAAAGGTAATTTTAAGTTTTTTTTATCTAATTAAAATATACAGGTTGTCCCAAATAAAAAATCAATTTTTCTGTTGATAATTCTTAAATTATTAATTTAAAAAAAAATATACTTAAACCATTAAATTCTACGTAAAAAGGTGCTTTGGAAATGTTTTCACAAAAATACAAAACTTTTCATAGCAAAAAAGTTACAGCGATCTGTTAAAATGCACATTTTTGAATTTGAATTGAAACGTTTTTGGAGACACCGATATTAGTTTTCGTCAATCTCCTATAGTAAAGGGTGTTTCCCTTTAAAAGCGTCGAATTTGACCCACCCTGTACATCTTTTATTCTCTTTAATATCCTAATATACCTTACCTAAATAATGAGAGATTATATCCGCTAGGTAAAGTGATCAGAGCAGTAACTACCATTCCAATAACCACGCCCAGCAAAAACGGTTGGACAGAAGGCCTTTGAAACTTTCGTATCTAATGGAGAAAACAAATTAAAATTATTAATAATATTAAAACAATTTTAAATTTATAGGAAGGAATATTAAATAAACAGAAACATGTTTTTTAATTTATTTTTATAGTAATCAATTTTTATTTCTTTTTATTATATTTAAGTTTACTCTTTTTTATTATTTTAGGTATAGATTTCTGTACATTTTGAAGCAATTGAATTGTTACTTTCTTTTAAGGTTAATTTAATTCTTTTTTTATATTTTTTTAATCTTAATGTTCTCTAATTTCTATTGTTTCTTTTTAGATCTCTTTATTTTCCTCAATTTAATTTTATAAAATAGTTAGGTGGTTGAACTTTCATTCTACGCTAAAAAGACGAACGTAGAAACGTAGAAAAGAAAGAGTACAGACAGCAGATCGAGTTTCCTGCTGAGTAGTTGTCGATGTAGGTTAGTAAGTCTAATTAGTTGTGTAAGTTGTGTAATAATTTTTAGAAGGAGCCACTACTAGCCACCACTACTAGCTTGGCTTGAGTGCGATACTATATGAATTTCTATTTTTATCTTAGGGAGAGCGCCCACCAAAGTGACGTAGCATATGACGTTGCACATACATGGCAATGATATGGCAATAGCGTTATTAAACTAATTTAACTATTATTATTGTTTAAATATATAATTCGCTTGGGTTATTTTTTACTGCATTGTGTCATGCATCCCAGTTAATAAATACATAAATACCCCGAATATAAAAAAATAAATTCAAAAACATTAAAAAATTTATCAAAAACACGTTGGTCTGCACGAAATGAAGCTTGCCAATCACTATCTTTGTCTTCCAATGATATAAAATCCACGTTGGAGTCAATTTCTGAAGACGATACCAAAAAGCCTAAAAACCGATTAGATGCTTCTAGTCTTCTTAAATAATTAAAAAGCCTAGAAATGGGTTTTATGGCGGTATTTTGGACAGACGTTTTAAATAGATTAGATGCGGTCAATAAAAAGCTTCAAATGGTGTATATTGATCTACAACTTGCTGCAGATTTATATAGCTCATTGGAAAAATATTTTTCTGGAATTATAAATCTAGATAATACTAAATCATTTGAGGAATATGAAAGAAGGGCCATAGAATTGTTCGGTGAGAAAGAATATGCAGCAGATAAAAAGAGAAAAGTGAAACGGAAACAATTTGATGAAACCAGTGATAATCTGATAATGAAACTCTATTTAAAGCTAGGGACGATTTTAGGATAAATGTATTTAATGTTATTATTGATAAATTAATCCTTGAAATTTCCTACAGGAAAAGTGCCTACAATGACTTTTCAACCAAATTTGGTTTCTTTAGTGATTTATCTACTTTAAGTATTCAAAGACATTACCGATAAGTCCAGACATTTAATAACCTGTTATCCAAATGATTTAGATGAGTCAATGCCTAATGAATTAATACATTTTCGTGAATTTATAAAATGCACTAAGTCAGCAAAATCATCTGCTAGAGAACTTCTTAAAGTAATTTATGAAAAAAAAAACGCTCAACACCTGTTTCCAAATACTTTCATAGCATTAAGAATCTTCGCATGCACTTTTATTACTAACTGTTTTGCTGAACGCTCGTTTTCTGCATTGAAACGTATTAAAACTTATTTACGGTCCACTATGGAAACAGAACGTCTAAATCATTTGGCAGTTTTACATATTAAGTCCGACGTTTTAAAAACTATCAATTACGATGAAGTAATTGATAATTTTGCGAACAAAAAAGTACGTAGAAAACCTTTATAGGCATATAAGCAAACCTTGGCATATAAGCAAACCTTAGTTTTGTTGTTCGTTTGTTGTCATTTTATATGAATATTTTAATATTTATTTTATGTTCTGTGTTGATCTGTTCTGTCGGTCTATTCTATTGTTGGTCCTGTATTCAAATTAATGTTTTTTATATCCGTAATTTTTTTAATTAAAAAAAAATGTTAAGGTGTTTCAATTTTTTTTGGCCTGAGGCGGCAACTTCGTTAAGTCCGGCCCTGGGCATGCTACAACGACAAATGACACTTTTCTGACAGCGCTACTTCAGTGTGCGCTGACACACTTATGGACGTTTGTTCAATTCGAATAACTTGCTAGGATGCATGTTACTTGCCAGATTACGTGCCACATCAGATGCTAAGTCACTTTGGTAGGCGCTCTCACTTAGTTTATTTTCTATGCAAAAATATAAATATGCGCACCTGGATCTGCCTATGTCCAAATGCTACCGCTCTAAAATAACTAATCTACAAATTTTATTATTATAAAGGTCATGGTATCATAATAGGAGGTAAATCTTCAAAAATGTGTCATAAACCACAATATAATTTTACAGAAAATCCATTTTATGCTATAAATTACTGCAATGAAATGCGATTAAACTGTATAATTTCATTAGATTTAGCAAACAAGAACTAAAAATAAAATATTATTGAACATCATGTCAATATATTAAATCTCTTGATTAGTTAAATATAGATAAGATGATAAAATGTAAAGTTAATAATAGATAAGAAACGTGATTTTAAAAAAACTCTCATGTAGTCAACTGATAAAAAATAATAAATTTATTGAAGATTTCAAAATATTGTTAAGGATAAAAAATAAAAGATATGCTAATTTTGTTCTATAAAGATAATCACTAAAGTCTTATCTATCTGAAAGTTACACTGAACATTTAGAATATGCCCCCAATCAAAATAAAAACATTTCACCGTATTGTGGTATTATCACTCTCACCTAAAAAAGCTTCCAAAACCAAAGCAGGAACAGGGATCGGAGTATTTGGGCCGAAAACTAAATACTTCGAACCAATAGGCATCTACCCCAGCATTTTTCAGGCAGAAATTTACACTATCGAAAGATGCGTACAATTTATCTTAGATAGGAACTATTGCCAAGTACGCTGCAGGTTTTACACAGTCATGCAAACAGAAAACTATGTGCTATGGTCACACTTGATGTGAAAAACGCTTTTAATAGTGCACCGTGGAATAGAATCTTAAATGAGTTGAGAACCAGACATATCAATGAGCACCTTGTAGAAATAGTATCATCATATCTGAGTGAAAGAAAAATCAAACTTGAATCGTGTGAGACCACTAAGATTGTGTCAATTTATAGTGATGTTCCTCAAAGATCGGTCCTTGACCCAACCTTGTGGAACGTTCTGTATGATAGTTTGCTAGAGACCCGCATGCCAGTTGGGATTACACTCGTTGGTTTTGCAGACAACATCGCCTTGGTTGTAACAGCTGCTAATGAGGAATCCTTGATTAATTTGGCCGACACCGGACTAATGCGAGTAACAAAGTGGATGAGGAGGCAAAACCTTCAACTTGCACCTCATAAAACTGAAGCAGTTCTACTAACGACTAAGAGAAAAGTAGCTAGACTATATTTTAATGTAGAGCAAACGATAGTTAATCCAAGCAGTGCCATTAAATATCTTGGTGTATGGCTGGACTCAAAACTGACGTTCGGAGTACATAGTGACAAAATTGTTGTTAAAGCGCAGAAGACGATATTGGCATTGACTAGTCTCATGCCTAATATCAGGGGTCTCAAACCCTCCAAAAGGCGTATTCTGGCTAGTGTGGTACATTCGCAATTAGAGAATAAAAGCTCGCAGAATAAAAAACAACAGATTTTGCTGTGCATACAGAACAATATCTGGTGAAGGTGCTTGCGTTATAGCTGGAATTGACATGCTACTGTGGGTTGACAATTGACAGCTACTGTGGGTTGCCAAGGCAAGAGGCCCAAAGTAAAATTATTACTGAGTTAATGAAATTATTACTGAGCAATATAAATAGGAAAATGGTAAACATGGCAGATGGACACATAAACTTATCCCGAGCAATGAAAAATGAATTTCTAGAGGCTAAGGAGAAGTGGACTACTATACGTAACGCAAGCGTTGTCGGGTCATGGGTCCTTTGGTAAGGTTAGGTTAGGTATAATTGTCATGTCGAAGATGACGCAGAACATACTTATTAAATAAATAAATAAATGCCTTTTTGTCAAAAAATTTTACAATTTGTAGACAAAGGTAAAGTAAACAAACAAAAGAGAATACAAAACAAATATACAAATTACATTGTCAGTCTTATTGTTTAAAATAAACATTTATAAATGTTTACAATGTCAAAGAATAAAAAAATAAAAATAAGATTCAAAAATATTTAGTATAGTAAATATAGTAATAGCAAATATTAGAGTGACTATTCGATCAGTGTTGACAAGATCAAATTCGATTATCAAAATATAAGTCATTTACGGCGTAGAAAGCCTTGTCTAGTAAATAAGATTTCAATGCTTTGCGAAATGAAGAAAATGATGTTATGGATTTGACTTCAAATGGCAGGTGATTGTGCATTTTTTCGAGTTGTATAATATTGAACTTTTAACTAACTTTGAACGTGGGGTAGCTAGATAAAGATCTTGCTCCGCATTCCTGAGTGGATAAGTGTGAGATGGCTTTTCTTGAGAAGCTGATACATGCCTACGTATTAGGCAAACGGATTCAAATATAAATAAGGAAGGAAGAATTAAAAATCCTGGCAATGAGTTCTGCTGTTTAGTCCCAGTGAATATCGAACAGCTGCTATCTTCTGGAGCTTGAAAATGCGGTCAAATTGAGTCGCCCAACACGTACCCCAGAATGGAAGGGCATATCAGAGGTGCGACTCAAAAAGTGCATAATAAACAGTTCTAGCCACTGACAAGTTAAGCTCCTTAGAAACAGATCTTAATGCAAAACAGGCAGAACTTAATTTTTTCGACAAAGCGTCCATATGCATAATATGTCCCATTTTAAAGAATTGTCTACAACAAGCCCTAAGAATTTTACAGATTTTACGACGTCAATGGTGGTGTTAAGTACAAAAGGCTGCAGATACGACAAAGCTTTAGTTTTAAAAATGTTGCGACTCAGGAGGTTCGTATCGCACCAAGATTTATTATTTGAATGCCCTAGATGCG